CCATTTGCGAACTTCTCAATTTTGGAGAGTTCGGTTGGCACTAGGTATGGAAACAACTTCATCTTTTCTGTGAATGCAGCAGCATAGTCGTCGATGCTCATTCTTCCCTTCTTCAAGTTTTGGAACTCATTGTTCAGATCAATTAGATCTATCTCTGAACAGTACTGCGCCTTCAGTTGTTCCAAGAACTCATCCCATGACATTTTCAGAGCTTCTCCTCGCGGCATTGTATCCGCCAATAACTTCCACCAGCTCAAGACTCCAGTTTTCAATTGTCTCACAGCGAAGACGGTCTTCTGCTTCTCGCTGCAGTCGCAGCTCTCAAACACCATCTCCATCTCGGAGATCCAATCCATAATCTCAACAGGCTTTGGGCTTCCTGAGAGACTTGGTGGTTTCGCACCCAAGAAATTCTTGTACATCCGCCCATCCTTGTTGTTTCTCCTCTCCGGGCCATCCCTTTGCTCACCTTGAGTCCCTACTTGACTCACTTGGCGGTTGTAGTTCCCTTCCTCAGATTGTTCGGGAATTGGCTCGGTCGGCTCAACATGTATGGTAGGTTCGTCCCTATTCTCTTGCATCATTTGCCTAATTTCTTCCCTTTGTTCAGCTAACATAGCCCGCATCATGGCTTGTACTCCAGCCATGGTGATTGTCTCAGGTGCAACTTCTACCACGACTGGTATTTGCTGTATCACTAGGGGTTGATCTCGGTTCCCATTTGCATTTACGTTTCCGCTACGGGTCCTTGCCATCTTGATCTATACACCGAATAAGGTGAATTAAGATCTTTATTTAGGATAGTCGTTTAAATCATCCTTATCACTCCGAAACGTTTACATGCTAGTTCTAATATCGTAGTCGTACGTTTAGAATCCTAAACACATAAGGTTTCAGATCCGGTCGGCAACAGACCATAGATCCGAACAAATAACAACATATCAGGCACACAACATTTAGCACATAAAAGCATTTTAGGCATAATTCCTAAAATAAGCTAGTGCTCACACCTCACAATCATCGCTTAGCATTCTAAGTTTAAGTCTAGAAATCCTACAAATTCCTAGTTCGCTTAAACTAATGCTCTGATACCAACTGTGACATCCCCATTTTCACGGCCAGAAAAGACCGATTTTGTTTATGCTTGTTTGAAAATCAGAGTAACATTTTAAATAAAAGTGTTGCGGAATTTGTCCCAAAACAAAATATGATAAAGATTTATCAAAAGCATTTCCAAAGAAATGTATTTCATTAAAAGACTCGGGATGTCATGTTCGATACAGATCAAAAGCATAAACAGTACAATATAAGCCTTACTACATTATTTCATATCTACAGGCCTATATCCGTAATCCCTCATCCAAACATCACATCTATGCTCGAGCGCCACTACCTGTAATACATGAAACTGAGTGGGTCAGGCTTGGGAGCCTGGTGAGCACATAGGGTTTTCAACCCACAATAAATAAGTTTATTAATTTCATCAATCAACAATAACCCGATTACCCGTTCCCGTTATCCTCACTTTACGTCCCTAAACACCTATCATAAGGGACCTAGCCTAAGGATCATCATCGGGATGGACACTACTGTTAAGGGGGTTCCTTAGCAATAAATGTCCTAAAGGAAACCATGAAGGGGGATGGAGTACACCGGTGAACACATCGTTCACAAACACCTACAGGTTGCGAGCCTGCTAGCGTTCCACTGGACTGTCTAGAAGAGTCCGTGGTCGTCATCTATACTCCGCTAGATGACTGGATCACCAACAACATCGAGGCCTCTCATCATTTTATCACACATCATCTTATTACATCTACCCATGTATTACCCCAACATTTTTGTAGATATAAAATACATATACAGTTTAAATCATAAAAAACGTGTATAAAAATCATTCATCCAACATAGACAGCAAGTATTCAGATAATATGCACACATAGCACGTAATTTATATAAAATACTTCATATCTATGTGTAAGATGAAAGTAACTATGCACTCACCTGATTAGGTGGTGACTCGGTACTCGAAAAACAATTTTTCCTTGGTCAAAACCTAGTATTAATACCACTAGGGTTTAGTTTTAACGTTAACCGCGACTAATTAATAGTCTGGCTATTATTATTATTATATAAGCGTTAAATAACACTCAATATAACTCATAATAATAGCCCAAATAATTATTTTAAGGACCTAATAACATTACTATAATTATTTAAAAGTTATACTAAAAATTGCGTAGTCGTAGCTCACTTACAACAGATTTTAAAGAAAACCGAGCTTTGCTCGGAGCAGCGTTTCCAAAACCGAAAGACCCTTTTTCTCGGGACTCCGGGAGCCTCGGGGCTTCCTTAGGGTGCTAGGGGATCACCTAGGCTTAGGGGAGGGTTAAAACCCTTAGAGAGAGAAAGTTATTTAGAGAGAGAAAGAAAATGGTGTGAAAAACCCGGAGACCCTCGCAGGTATTTATAGTCGCGAAGCCTCTCGGTTACGCTGGGCGTCCAGCCGTCTACGCGGGGCGTAGGCTTCGGATAAGATCACCAGCTCGGATCCAGCTTGGCTCGCACGCGCCTACTCTCGGAAGTGGATCAGATCAGTACGCCGGGCGTACTCTATTTCGGACGCGGGGCATAGCGAAGGGCGACGTGTCCTTCATCCGAAGCGAGCCGTGATCAGCAAGCGACGGTCCAGATTATGCCACGTCATCAATCGAGCAACAAATTTCTCAAATTCGAGTCTAAACTTTAAAAATTCGTATCTTTCGCATACGAGCTCCGTTTTCGACGTTCTTTATATCCACGCGTAGCCGGGAATGCACTCTACAACTTTCGTTTAGACTCCGTCGGCTAGTTTTAACTTTATTTTAAAAGTTATATTTTTAACAGGCCGGGACAGGATTGGTCCGTTAAAAATTCATAACTTCTTCATCCGACGTCCGTTTTCGTCTGTCTTTTTATCGTTGTGCTACTATTAACGAGATCTTCGATTCTCGTTTAGGTTGTGTCGGCTAAAAACCGCTCGATCTAATATTCGAACTTCGGGCTGTACACTGCTAAGCCGAAACTTCGAAAAATCATAACTTCTTCATACGAAGTCAGATTTGGGCGTTCTTTTTATGGACGCTCTTGGTTTAACGTTTTCTACGACTTTCGTTTAGATCGCTAAGGCTAAAACTCGATCTATCGTAAATTCACTATTCACGCTTCCCGGTGTCGTGCCGTTTCGGTCGTGAAACTTCGACGGGTCATAACTTCTTCGTTATAACTCGGATTTCGGCGTTCTTTATATCTTCGGAATCCTTGTTTCGACCACTACAACTTTATGTAAAGATATCGGGCTTATCTCATACTTTAATTTTGACGCTTATTTTTATTATTTATTAATTATACATTTATAATTAAATATTAAGCACATAAATACACATAATTCACATAGTATTTAAACATTTCATCTTTATTACATCAAAAAGAGTTACAATAGTTGACCTAGACTATTACATCGTCTAAAAATGCTTAGCCCCGAAACCCGGGCGTTACATTGTCACTCTGATGGTTGTCCTAATTGACATAGATTGCTAAGGAAACCCCGAAGCAGTGTTGTCGCCCCATTGAAAAAAAAAATCCTTAGACTAGGTCCCTTATAAATAGATACTTTAGGGACGTGAAGTGAGGAATACGGGAACAAGTAATCTCATTTTAGGAGTGAATGAATGGAGGACATATGATTATTAAGATCTTTAAGAATAAAGAAGATAATGGGGATGAGAAAATTTGGTTAGTTGTTTGATGTTTAAACTTAATAAATTTACTTATTATGGGTTGAAAACCCTATATTCCTCAATAAGGAATATACTTATCCTAAGAAGAAGAAGGAGTCCTCAATAAGGATTTATTTTGTAACTTGTAGGTTACGATTGAAAGTCCAACCTAGTACGAAGAGCAGGTGCAAGATTGAGCATCATGGTTATTACTTAGGATGGAAAGATAACGTATGTAATCATTATACAAGTCCTATTTTCGTTGATGATTCCGGGACGTAATCATCCTAAGGGGGAGAAATGTTTTGGATTTCATGGTTTATGGAAAAGTGTTTTGGTTAATCAAAAATGAAAAATTTCTTTTGAAAATTTGGGTCGTTACAGGTCACGATGGGAAGAAAAAAAAAGAGAAGGTAGGAAGGTAACTTTTCAGTCAACAATATTTTAAAGTCTGACCGAGAAATCATATGGGCCAGGCGTTTCTGATTGAGAAAGCTATTATCAAACACATTTCGTCTGACCGAGTCAGCCCAAATCGCTGACTCGGTCCCAATCAAACAATAACAAACGGGCCCTTAGACAATGCATGTGGATGAATAATTTTCACCCCTTAAATAATTTCCTTTACCTATTGAATTACTATTTTGATGATGTATGAATATGATGTTATGTACTATAAATACCCATCAAATGTAAAAAGAAAAACACACCATCTTGAATACAATCTTCTAAGTGTTCAAGAATACTCTCAAATCTCATTCTTTTATTTTATAACGTTTTAGTTTAGTTTTGTTAGTTTTAGTTTTAATTACGTCGAATTTATAATTAATATATATATATATATATATATATATATATATATATATATAGATATATATATATATATATAATATATATATATATATATATATATATATCATTTCAAGGTATGATCGGATCCGATCCCGATCCCAATTCCGATCGTATGAACTCTCATTTGCGATCTTATATTCGATATAATTCTTTTATGAGAAATTAAATATCTTCATGTGTCATATTAATGTATTAAAATATCATTAAATGAGAATTAAATAATACATATGTCACTATTCAATTGGGTAGGAGAATTTATAGGAAGAAATCGTAGTAGAATATTTAATTTCTCTTCTTGATCATGTCTAGATCGGATCGGGATCCGGATCTTGACACCTGTGGTTTATTGAAAAGGTGAAAACAAGTGTGGGAAATAGCTCATCACAAAGTGCCTTATTCCTAGGGTAACGATGGGTGGTTTGGATCGATCCGTGGTTGAAGTATAACCTCAACCTGCTCGTGGGGCCGGACTGGCGGTGGTCAATGCCAACGAATGTATACCGCAGCCGCGTCGTCTGTCTGTCTCTCTCTCTCTCTCTCTCTCTCTACTCGTAATCGTATGACTTGTAAGGGATTGGATTTGTGAATCATTTCCAACGACTATCCCAGTCGGTCTAGTTCCCATTTTATCACTTCCTTGACCAATCGTTGCGTTGTTCTGTTCGATTCGATCGAAATTTGTGCGACCTTACAGAAAGTCAGGTGAGGATTTCCAAGTTTTAAGCCTTGCGATTTCCGTAGAAAAGTATTGATTCGCAACAACCCCAGATCGATTATTCGTCGGAAGGCCAAACAAGAGCTCCGACCGAGAAATATATGATCCATGGTGAAGGAGACGGAGTACTACGACGTCCTCGGGGTTAATCCCACGGCAACGGAGGCTGAAATTAAGAAAGCTTATTACATCAAGGTCCTCATCACTTCTTTGATTACTATAATTTCCTCTGATCTTCTTCATCTCGCCCTTTTTATGTTACCTACACTTTTAGTAAACGAGTAAGATCCTTGGAAAAGAATTACAATCGTTAGGAAACGAGGTATTTTATATTTTGTACTCAACGGTGATATAGATTATAACCCCATTGAATCTATCCCCATTAGCACAGTCTATATAGGTTACGCCTCTTAGTAATTTTGCCCTAATCCTACCAAATGTCAAATAGAAACCAAGGAACTGTGTTGTGACAATACAAATTTCTCCTTTTCCCCACAATTTCTACTTAACAATTCGGATTAGGGATTATATTCGAACTCCAAAAATGTAGCAGATTTTCTTTTTAAAGATAGCATCTGGAACATGCATTTGATTCTTTATGAGCAAACACTTATCCCCATGCCATGAAGGCCCTAATTTATGATATTTTTAACACTTGTATGATTGCAGGCACGACAGGTCCATCCGGATAAAAATCCAAATGATCCTCTTGCAGCACAAAATTTTCAGGCAACACTTTCATCCACATCTTATAAGATGTTTATATATATATATATATATATATATATATATATATATATATATATATATATATATATATTTTTTTTTTTTTTTTCAGAATATTATCTTCACTTTATTGTTTTCAGTTAAAACCTTTATGTTCTATTACAGGTGTTAGGAGAAGCTTACCAAGTACTGAGTAATCCAGAGCAAAGACAGGCATATGATGCTTATGGGAAATCAGGAATCTCAACGTCAGTTTTGTGGTTTTTTACTATAGATATTGGAGTAATATTGTGTAGAGATTATGGTATTCTGAATAGTGAACATGCACAAACTCATATGTGTCTTCTTGATGTTTATATAGTTGATTTCTGCTGAATTTTAAATTTATGTTCTCTTGATTAATTACAGTGATGCAATCATTGATCCTGCTGCCATCTTTGCAATGCTTTTTGGGAGTGAGCTATTTGAAGAATACATTGGACAGCTTGCCATGGCATCAATGGCTTCTTTGGATATTTTCACAGAAGGGGAGCAGTTTGATGCTAAGAAGTTGCAAGAGAAGATGAGGGTATGTAATAATAATATGTTGTAACACATACCTCAATTAACTTTACTTATAATCTTATTATCTTGCATTGCAATACACAAGCACTAAGCCACCAACTAATTCAATTTATTAAGTTTCTAAGTGGCTATGTAGATTTGAATCAGTTTAATTGTTTTCATCACAGATTGTTCAAAAGGAAAGAGAAGAGAAGTTAATCCAAACACTTAAAGATCGTCTCATCCCATATGTGCAAGGAAACAAAAGATGAATTTGTTCGTAATGCTGAAGCTGAAGTATTAAAGCTATCTAATGCAGGTGATGTGCATATATATTTTTTTTCTTTCTTTTAAAATCTTCAGTTCATAGTTTTCTCTTGATAAATCTTTTTTTGTATATATGTTAAAAGTTGTATTAGATGTAAGCTTAATCATATTAGAGTTTGGAATGATGTTAGGCTGTAGGCATTGATATCTATGTCTTACTTAAAAACATATTTGGACACTTTTACCCTTTTGCAGCTTATGGCGTTGACATGTTGAACACAATTGGCTACATCTATGCAAGACAAGCAGCCAAGGAACTCGGTAAAAAGGCAATCTACTTAGGTGTTCCATTCATAGCTGAATGGTTTAGAAACAAAGGTCATTTCATCAAATCACAAGTTACAGCAGCAACAGGTATCAAACTATCAATCTACCTTTCTGATATTATCCAAATGTTTTTATGGGTTTTAAAAAAGTTTACTTTTTTGTCCCTGGATCTAGGTGCACTTGCTTTAATTCAACTCCAAGAGGACATGAAAAAACAGCTGAGTGCAGAGGGAAAGTACTCAGAGGAAGAACTCGAAGAATACATGCAGTCACACAAGAAACTAATGATTGATTCCCTTTGGAAACTCAATGTAGCAGACATCGAAGCCACACTTTCACGTGTCTGTCAGATGGTTGTTTTACCTTTATACCCTTTTTTCTTCTATAATCCAACACCTTTATAGTTTTTACACTACTTACATTTTGTGATGTTTTCAGGTTCTTCAAGATAATAGTGTGAAAAAAGAGGAACTGCGTGCAAGAGCTAAAGGATTAAGGACACTTGGAAGAATCTTTCAAAAGGCAAAAACAGGAAATGGAAGTGAAGGTGAAATGTTACATGGTGGAAGTGGAATGCATAACATTAATGGAGTTGATGGGGATAATGTTTCAAGAGGTGCAGAATTTGGTCAAAGCTCTCAAAGTCAAACCACCATGGCACCTCAGGTAAGAACTAAGAAGCACCACATTGTTTTAAACTTAGTTATAATGGAGAATAGTAGATTGTTATAATGTTTGGAAATTGCAGAGTCCATATGTGGAAGCTCCACCGTTTGCGGGTGTTGAGAATTTTCACTTTCCGATGCCGACTGCGCCACCTGGAGCTCAGAGGTTTCAGTGAAGATGGAATGATGAATGATGGTATGTGTTGTATGTATCATTGTGGTAATGGAGTTGAATTTGTTTGTATTTGTTGAGTGAATATTCATGTGATGTGAAGTTTGGAATGGTTTTTAAAGCACATATAATGTATTTGTGTTAGAGAGATGTGCTTATGCCTTATGCCTTATGTTTGGTTAGGATTTGCTGACATCAGCATGGTTTATTATATACTATTCACTATTGCCTCTTGTTTGAATTTTCCTGTTAGGGTTAAAAAGGTAAATCACAGTATGTAGTTACATATTTCACCTTATGTTTTATCTGGTTGTTGTGGTTGTTGAGCTTTAAGAAATCATTACTAACACAGTTGTATCTTTTTTATGTTTCAAAGCCTCTAGGTGTTTTATCCTGATAGATTTGGAAGTTAACATTGAGATATCATGTGTAGTGTTTGAGTGTTTGGTAGATCTTGGTTATTTAATAAAAGGTTAATGACATTGTTGGATAACCAACTTTTATGAATTGGTTTAAATGACCCCTTAGGTTTTTTCTTGCGTTTTAGGGCACAAAGTGCCTTTTATTAGGTTTAAGGGAGGAGGGAGTCATTCCCTCCCAACCCACTGAACCCAGTGCCACATTGTTTTTTCTCTTTTATTTTTCTTCATCTTTTCCAACCCACAATACACGGAAACCCTATCTTTTTGAACTCATTCAATCTATTTAATTAAAAAAAAATACAAAACAATCAAGGTAAAATCTTAATTAGCAATAGAGTTACCGCCGGTACCACTTCCGCTTCAGCGGTTTGTTTAATTGGTTTCACTAACCCACTTCATCATCTCTCTACTTTCTCTCTCTCATTTTTTCTTGTACCATGTGTCTTAAAACTTGTACCTTAGTTGTTTTGTATATTTTTTTAATTGAGTGGGTTGAGTGGGTTTAGAAAGATAGGATTTCCGTGTGTTGTGGGTTGGGAAAGATGAAGAAAAATCAAAGAGAAAAGTTGATGTGACAGTGAGTTCAATGGGAACGACTCCCTCCTCCCTAAAAGGCCACTTTTAGAAATGTGACTGGGTAGCCTGGTAACTTAGAACATGTGACAGTCCAATTGGTAGTATGGGCTACATGGTCAACACAATAAGTCTATGTGGCAGTTTGGCCAACACAATATGTCTACATGGTAGTTTAGTCAGCACAATAAGTTTATGTGGCAGTTTGGCCGACACAATGTCTACATGGCAGTTTGGTCAACACAATGACCCGTTTATGATCTTCATCTTTCTCACTGACCATAGTAATCCTTTTTACATCTAGACATCTAGAAATCTGATCGGGAGTAGAAAAAAAAACAATACATGCGTGTGGTCTACGAGTAGGAGAAGGCGACAAGGGTGGAGCTGCCTTTAGCTAACAATGTTGATGACACAACCGAAAGAGGAAAACGCTCTCCCCTTGTGTGTATAATAGAGACACGATTGAAAGATATCGGGGGTAGAGGAGAAAGAGAGCAACATGACAACGTTTGTCGGTGCGATTGCAATATGTATTGGCAGCGGTGTGGTGGCCATATCTCTGACAGTGGCTTCTTATACGAGTTTGAAGGTAACATAACTGTTTGATATGCCTATGATTCCTCCTTGGTATGTACCAATTAGGTCCTATAATCTTGTCGTTGATTTAATACACGTTTGGCGATTCAGATATGCATTCGCAACAAGTTTCATATCAGGGTTTCATCTTAGCATCAACGTTCAGGCTGTGAAAGCAGTTTAATTTTGAATTGTCAATTCCAATACCTAACTCAAGTCAACTAAGATCTGTTAGGTACATAGTAAAGGCAATCAAAAGAAAAGAAAGAGCAAGAGAGACTTACTCTTAGCATCATCCATTTGTAGTTTCAAGTAAGATGAGTTGGCATTAATGGATTTGATTAGAACGAAAAATACATATGATGAAGGAAATGTGAGTTGGCGTTAATGGATTTAATTAGATTCCTTCTACAACCGGTTAATATGCACTTTATGCCCTTAGAACACAAGAAAAATACGACAGGGACTATTAAAACTAATTCATGAAAGTTCATTACCCAACAGTGACATTAACCCTTTAATAAATTACTAGATAAAACAACAAATCTTTTTATATATTGTTTGATTTTTTTTACTCAAAGTATAAAAAGTTGTTTTCTTAATAGTAACAATAATAATTTTAACATATTTTATACAAAAGATTATTTTTTTTGAAAGTTTTGTCATCTATAATTCCATTTTTCTTTTCACGATAGAAATATCAATATATTAGTTTATTTTCAAAGATCTTTAATTTTGAGTAAGAGGTTATATTGTAGACTTGTAGTTTTTGTTTATCTCGGATAATATGAGTTTTGTTGCAATTAATACAAAACTGATTATGTAATATAGATAATCAAATCAAAACTATTTTACCTAAATATAATTTATTATGTGCAACTTCAAATTATAGTAATCAAATAATTATGATGAATCTAAATATTAGATAATGTTTTTAAAAGAAATGAATAACTTGTTAAAATAACCGAAGCACGAAGGAGTTGAAATCTAATTCAAATTTTACATAATATTTATAAGAGAAATTAAATATCCTCCTACTTATTGTTCTTACAAATTTTTCTACCCAATTAAATAGTGACATGTGTAACATTTAATGCTCAATTAATGATATTTTAGCCTATAAATATGTCACATATCATTATTTCATTGGGTAGGAGGATTTGTAGGAAGAAAAGTAGGAGGATATTTAATTTCTCCATTTATAAAAGAAATGAAATCTTTGAAACCTAAAGGAGATGAAATCTAAATGAAATAGATTTTGTTATGTGTTTGGTGGTCCCAAAGATTTAAATATTCTCAAATCGTCGAGCCAGAAAAAAAGAACTTTAATTGTTATTATATATATATAATAATAATAATAATAATAAAATTAAGCCCCCCCCCCCTCCAAAAAAAAAAAAAAATGGGTCCTGTGCAGCTGTCCACTTTGCCGCTCAAAACTCTCTATGAAATGTGTTTTCTGTTTGATTTGAAGATTTGTCGAAAAAATTTAAAAATAAGTTATGTAATATAATCAAAATACTATTTTATTGATTTTTGTAACTTGTTATTATGTTTAACAAAAATGATAAACTTTAAACTAAATTAAAAAAAAATTATTTATTAAACTTTTACCTGGTCAACCTTAAATTGAAAAAATATAACTATCCTTGATAAAAACAATTAATAAACATATTGTTTTAAGGTCTAGTGATTTTAGTTAGGAGCTAGATGTATATTTAAAAAGTTAAAAAGTTTTAATAATAGTAAAAAATTGAATTTAAAATTTTTATCGATAGCCAAAAGAATGATCAATTCATTATAATATAAAATTTAATAAAAATTAAATAATTATATATATATATATATATATATATATATATATATATATATATTTGAATTTATCGTCTTTCATTCATGATATACTTTTACCTGTTCAACCTTACAAATTGAACTTTCTTGATATACTTTTACCATTAACTAAATTAAAAAAAATTCATTTATTAAACGTTTACCTGTTCAACCTTACAAATTGAAAAAAATATAATTACCCTTGATAAAAACAATTAATAAACATATTGTTTTAAGGTCTAGTGTTTTTAGTTAGGAGCTAGATGCATATTTAAAAAGTTAAAAAGTTTTAATAATAATAAAAAATTGAATTTAAATTTTTTATCGATTGCCTCAATTCATTATAATATAAATTTAATAAAAATTATATATATATATATATATTGAATTTGTCATCTTTCATGATATACCATTAACCAAAGTACCAAACTAACACTACTATACCAATTTTTGTCATAAGCTAAAAAAAACCATGGCTGATGATGGTTAGACAAATTTGACATCGTAAATATCTATTGTGCTTCACTGTCATGCTATATGCATTGCTTGAAAATCATCTATTACTTAACGTATTTGGCTATTTCTAGACAAATTTTATATTATTGGAATAATTTGTGTTTGAGTGTCATACTATATTTGCATAATAACTTCATGTGCTAATAAATTGTTAGTATTAACTTCAACAACCAACATTTGGTTAGTGCCTTTATAGTTGCTTAAGGTAGCAAGCACTTTCAATAGTATTCTGAGCAATCATTCGAAAAATATATACAAATATCCATGAAATCAATAAAATTATCATTTATTGGATTTTTTTACTATGTAGATATACAATTGTCTCACATACACTCACCATAACACTTCTTTTTTTCTTTTTCTTTAAAACACATTTTGTTCGGTTAAATCGGTTTTAACATTAAACTTATATTTTTCAATTGATTGAGACGATATATAACCTAGAAACCTGATCTTGCTAACCCGATACAATTGTAACCACATCATATGTCACGTGCACGACACAATATCTTAATAAAATTTATCTTTAGTTAATTCTTTTATTTTTCTTATTATGAAAATAGCTAGCAACCTTTTTAATTCTTCATGTTAGCAACTCCACCCCACCTCTCAAAGTCCCCACTATCCATCTACCTTCACCCTTTTATTGATTGTAAGCACTTGTATCACAATGATCGTGACTATCATGGGGTGGAATGTTTTTTCACATAGGTTTCTTCCTTTTACAAAGTTTCTTATTTTTTTTTTTCTTTCAACACGTGACAACTGGCGATCCTAAATCACATGAAAAGCAATCAATAGAATTTATACAATGTATCAATGGTGATCCAAACATCCCGCCTCATTATGTAAAATCCGTATGTGAACAATGTTATTGCTTTTGTAAAATTGTTGTTGCCAAAAATGAACAAAGCATCAATATTTTCACTTGATTATAACTCATATGCACTTTTATATGTACATTAGTTTTTAATCATTATAACATGAACTATAATACTATATGATGATGAAAATGTCACTTTAACTATTACTTTAAAATAATTGCAAATTATAAATAAAAAAGGACACTTAAATTTACAATTCAACATTATGCAACTTAAATTGATAAATTAGCACATGATTTATCATCATAATGTAAACTTCTTTATGAATGAAAAAATCACTTTAATTATTACTTTAAGTAACTCCTTACTATAAATAAAAACCAACAAACTATTTATTGACTACTTGGTGAATGTTACATGTGATCTTATATAATTCATTCCAGTTTTTAAAAAATAAACATTTACCTTATAATACATATAAAAAAAACTAAAATAGTAACATCAAAGGTTAAAAAAAGGAC